TCTTTAACAGAAACACTGTAAAAGTAAGCTACAGCTGTACTGAAAATATCGAAAAAATTATTAAAAACCATAACAAAAAAATTATTTTCCCAAAAAATAAAAATAATGACAAAAAATGCAATTGTCGAAAGAAAGCAGAATGCCCCATGAATGGAAAGTGTAAATCAACAAACGTTATATATAAATGTATCATCGCAGCTAAAAATCAGCCCAACAAAGTGTATATTGGATTAACGGAAGGCGAGTGGAAAAATAGATACAACAATCACAAATCATCATTCAATAATGTTAAATATTTACATGGTCTATTCTAAAATCTGTACCCCCCTACTCAAATATTTCCAAAAGGTGCCCACTATGTCTATACGAGAAATTCGCAATTATATCCTATCCTAAACCTGATGAACTCCTAAATAAACGAAACGAAATCATATCAAAGTGCCGCCACGAAAACAAGTTTTTATTAAAAAACTACAAAGCTCGCTACAAACCTAACTAACCACTAGCATTAACTACGCAACCCTATTTCCTACACCTCTAGGCTAACCAATAAATTATTCACATACACAGCTTTTGTAATATATTTCGTAATATAATTTATATTCTTATACCCACTTTTGAAACTTATTTTTATATTCATTTATTTTTAATACAATAATTTTTTTAAAACAATTCACATTATTATTAAATCGTATTTTTATAACAGACATTAAAACATATAACAACTTCACATATATTAACCAAAAACAAATTAATAATAACATTAACCTCAACTACTAAACAATTTCCGTCCCATAACAATCTAAAATACTAATATAAACAGTAAATTTTTTCTAAACACATTGTAGCAAAATTAACTTTTGACTACTTGCCTGATGATTGTGGTAACACATGAAACTTTAAGTCGCAATATAATATTATAAATATTAGCATTTAGCTAATTTCTGATACTGCGGGTAACAGTAATATAAATAATATATGTTATTATTTATTATTAATTTTATTAAAGTTACCTTATATTTTTTAATCCAGTTAGAGCATAAAAATAAAATTGTTCACACTGCGTTTTAATGATAAATATTTCATACTTATAAGTTCGTCCCAAAAACAATATTTAAAAAATATATAGCTGCTACCTCCTAATATGTTTTATATGATAAAAAAACACTGGTTTTAAAATTTTTTTGAATAAAAAATATTTTTGGAGTCCCTTGAACATATAACGAGTTCCTAATATTATCAATAAAAAAATCTTCAAAAGTGTCTTCAAAATATTCTTAATCTTCGCCAAAAAATTTTTTGAATAAAAATTTTTATTTGGAGTCCCTCAAGATCCTTAAACATAAATAGGGTAAGGCGGGGTGAATTCGTCACGGAGCGAATCCGTCACTTATGCGACTCAGTTTTAAAATAATAATGCATAAAAACTAAGAAATCTATTAACTAGGTTTTTTCGAAACTTTTTCAACTGATATTTGTAGAATATTACTAAATAAATGTTTTATATATTTACCTCCGATTATTCTTTAAATATTGCAAATAAACATTGAAGTTGAAAAAATATTTTTCTGCTTAAATGCCTATCGTCAAAAAATTATCAAAATTTGCAATGTTTTGACCACAAAGTATATATTTTTTGATTGATTGATGTCAGTAGTTTTTAAATAATAATTTAAGTTACTATGCTTTTGCCTTTGGAATCGTCACCTAATGATTGTTAGCACATGCTCAAATGAGGGGCAACTTCGTCGTTGAAGAGAAAAATAAATTAGGTTGTTTCATCATGCAAATTTTTAAACTACCGAGCGCCGTTTGAAAGAAAAACAAATTGTGATCAAAATGCGCTCCAAAGCTTTAGACATTTATAAGAGAAAAGCTCTTCAGAATATATTAATTTACAGTTAGCTTTTAAAACTTTTTGAAGTTTTAATTATTAACACGACTTTGATGTGAAACATGTAAACAAACTTATTATAATGTATAGTCTGAAATATATATACAGTAAATAATAAGTATATAAAACATATATGTTATATATTTTTAGGCTATCCACTGCCTATTTTTATACATATTTAAAATATGTATAAGTATTAAATATTGTTAAAATATTATTGAAATTCAATAAATATTATTAGAATAGTTAATATTATTTACTAATTTTACATTAAAATAAGACTTTTATTATATATTATATAGCAAAGATCTTATTCTATTTTAAAAAATATATATAATATTATACTATTTATAGGTATGCGGAATTCGCGTTTTACGGAACCGATAAATGTGCTAAATTCTTGTTCCACGCTTTTTTAAGTTTTCTTTTCGCCAGTAAGGTGGGAACGTTTTTGCTGCCTAAATTTTTAAATTTTCATATTACAATAGATATTTTTTAAAAACTAGAAGAATATATCTTGGTTGCTATTTGTCTTTTGATTACTATAACGAACTTTTTAAGATAATTTATTGACTTTTAAAAATGTGTAGTACATTATGCATTCCCCATACTTTGAAGATGAGTTTTTACACATTTCTAACCTAGTCTTACCCTTAAGTTTACACATTTTTTGTTTACCTGCCAAGTTTCATTGAAAAATATGGATGCGCATTATCTCTATTTTTACCCCCACTTTTGGTACCTAATTTCAAAATTTTCTAGAATATTCACGGGAGATAGGGGGGTGAAATAACCAGCCGTTAAAAACAAACAAATGTATACTTTTCAGAACTTGAAAATATTTTTATATGTTAGTATATGAAATTGTAAAGAGAAACTCTTCAAATAAACATTATTCGGTTTTATATAGTCGTTTAATAATCTAATTTTTAGATAAAATGAGCTTTACTACATTGCAATCTCCAAACTATTTGGAGAACATTGCAATCTCCGAATTATTGCCACCGATCTCAATCTCAAAGTTATTTGGCCAATAATTAATCACAAATAAAAGCCAAATTGGCTTTTCTTTGTGATTAAATTTTCATCAGTTTATGATATTCAACTCAAAAAAATGATACGCTCTAAATGACATTTGTTTGCTTAATTTATGTGTATATTTTTAAATTTTCTGTGTTTTATTTACAGGTTATTAACCTGTAGATAACGTATTTATTTTTATTCATCATGAATAAAATAAAATAAAAATCTAAAGATAATCATAAACATGAATTTCATGTCTATGATTATCTTTAGATTTTTAAATAAATAAAAAATATATGCAAGTTAACACTTGCAAGGGAAATTGGTTGAAAGCGCAAGATTTAATACCATAGTTATTGTAAGTCAAAAGGAGCAAGTACTTTTTGGTTGAAATAGATTTATTTATTTTTTACACTCTGTGTAAGTAGTAAACTATTTTTTCTTTAATTGTTGTTTTTTTTCCAAGTTTTTTCAATAATTTACTTCTTCATCTTGGCAATTTTTTTCTGTTTGTAATCCAAACCTACTTTTTAATTTCTATATTTAACTTTAATATATATATATATATATATATATATATATATATATATATATATATATATATATATATATATATATATATATATACATATATATATATATATATATATATATATATATATATATATATATATATATATATATATATATATATATATATATATATATATATATATATATATATATATACTCATATAGTGTCGCTTTAAGAGCATTTTAATGTAAAAAAAGTCTCTTACGACTACAATTTTAATTACCTCGTCTCTTAAGCTGTTTTTGATTGTCATCGAAATGTCAAAGCAAATAATTTATGCGGAAGTACATTAAATTTAATTGTTTTTTAAAAATTTTTTAAAAACCGCAATTATAACGACTAGAAAGTTTTTTTTAATTAGTGGTGTTTTTGTTATTGATTTAATAAAAAACATTTTTTAAACATGCGTAAATGTTGCTACATCGACTATCTTATAGCGTGACTCGCAACAGAGTGCTGCTACATCGACTGACAAATAGCCTGACTCGCAACGGAGTGCTGCTACATCGACTGACAAATAGCCTGACTCGCAACAAAGTGCTGCTACATCGACTGACAAATAGCCTGACTCGCAAGGGAATGCTGCTACATCGACTGACAAATAGCCTGACTCGCAAGGGAGTGCTGCTACAACGACTGACAAATAGCCTGACTCGCAAGAGAGTGCTGCTACATCGACTGAGGGTTTGGTTTGGCCAGGCAGTCTATCAATTAAAAAAAAAAAATTTAATATTTAAAACTTTTTCTGGTATTTTTCAAAAATATTTTTTGATGCTACGCAAGAGACATGCAAGACTATATATATATATATATATATGTATATATATATATGTATATATATATATATATATATATATATATATATATATATATATATATATATATATATATATATATATATATATATATATATATATATATATATATATATATATATATATATATATATATATATATATATATATATATATATATATATATACCATTACTACTTTTTTTGTTATTGTGTTAATAATTGTTTTAGAATACAAATAATGTTGTGGTTAATATTTTTAATATTGTTTATTTATTCTTTAATGTTATTTTATTTTCATTTCTTTTTTTCTTATTTCCAGGAATTATCTTTTTCCGGATATTTCCGGAATTCCGGATATTTTTTAAGTTTTTTGTATATTCCGGATAATTAAATTGTTTTCAAAAATACAATTTATAAATTTTTTTCTGTTTATTACTGTCATCAAATGAAACAGTAACAAGTATATATAAACAGTAAATTTGTTGCCCATAAATTACGGAACGCTATATTTAGTTAACAAACAAAGCAAAAAAGATTAAAAGATTTCCCATTTTAATAAATTTTAATAAAAATTCCAGCGCAAAGACCGAATGATCTCCTACTTTTAAAATAAAATTAGCGATGCGTGTCAAACTCTTCTCTTTTTAAAAAAAATTGTAAATTTACGCTTTTTAAATAGCTCTTTTAGCTATTAGCAAAGAGATTTCTTTTTTATTGTTTTAAAACTTTTTTTTTAAGTAAATCACTTCGCTTATGGACTGAAACTTTTCTCAGTTTGTTTGTCGGTGGTTCAAAATTTATTGCATCGTTATTTCGTTTTCTGTCCAGTCGTACCATTGCAAGTCTCTTTTCGTATACACTTTTCGAAAGTATCATTTTTTTCGCATAATTTCTTATTAATTGGCGACTTTAAAAAGTTTTGACGATGGTATTGAGTTATAGAGTTGCTTTTCTTTGAACGCAAATCAAATTTAACTATTTGAATTGCCGAAAACGTTTCTACATTAAGACGGGTTGTCATCATTCATGGTACTAGTAAAGAAAAAGAAATAAATAGTCTAAAGAAATTTTTCTTCGTTTTTGACTTGAACTGAACTACTATAATATAATTATGTTATAATAATTATTTAATTAAATTAGTAATAATATTATAAATAGTGTTTAATAGTTACTTTTAAATTACAACTTGAAGCTCTCAGATCAAAAAAGTTACCTGAACGATTGTTCTATCATAGGTCCAGTAAATATTGACAAACAAGCTTTAATAACCTTGGTAAGTAAGTTGTATCGGTTCAATACAAAAACCTCGGACCACCATTGATCAAGTCTTTTTCCTTTTACTGCTGGTAAGTCTTTAGCGAGATGAAACGCAACAACTTCTCTGTCAAATAAGTCTGCTTCGTCAATTTTTATAATGTTAGGAAAAAATTCTTTCAGCTTCTGCGTCATTCGACACGCAACTGTACTTCCAACATACGTTGGATCAATAGAGGATAGTAGTTTTAATAACTCGTTCGATAAAGGAATCTTTTTTTGGATATACTTTGCACCATCGAGAAATGCTCTTTTAACATGCGATTCAAACTCTGTTCGGATAGGATCATCAAGTCTATATTATTTAAAAGATTTTCGTTACCTTTCTCGTTAAATTATATTTCAAAAATAACATAAGTTTATTGATTATTTTTTAATATCTTAATAGGCTAATATCAAAAGTCGCGTATATAAAAATCGAATTTAATAATATTATTACTGTTTTGCTTTAGTTAATACAAATTTACTAACCTAAATTTGAGAAGAGCTGTGTTTGTGTTTTTGCCAATGTACCAATCTTTTTGAATTTTGTGAAATTTGAAGTCTGTTACGTCAAGCATTGTTAGTTTTTTACCCGATGCATCCTTAATTAGTTCTAGCTTCATAAAGCAGCCTAAAAAAGATTTAACCACTGATTTTAGCTCATCGTATAAAATGTGAATCTTCGGTTCTTTTTGTTCAAATATTAAAATAAATGACTTGAAAATCGGGAGGATTGCAATATAGAAGTTAGCATGCAGCTCGGTTTTTCTTCGCTTGTAGAAAAGTTTGCTTACTATTCTTTTCTTTCTTTCTTTTCCAGCTTCAGTTAAAGACTTTTTTTTGCATTTAGCGCCAATTGAGTAAATCCTTTTTTTTACACCATTTGACAAGTTCTAAAAATATAAAATTTCACGAATAAAACATTATATCTGCATAGAAAAGTTTTTTTCGCAGTTTTTGACGTTTTTAAATTTTTACCTCCGTTAGTTTTTCATAATCATCCATGTAGATAGTTTGTTCCTCTTTCTTTAACCAAAAAAAGTACAACACGCTAAGAGCAGGAAAAAGTGCCATGTTACACTCAATAGCATCGAACGTTGATAACCAACGGTGATCAATATGGTCAGGTGGCATTCGATAGTTTACACCTAAGTAACCACATATTTCACTTAAATAGTTTCGAATGTCAGGGCTCCATTTTAGGTCATTGTGAACATCTTTACAGAAATACTCAATATACTTTTCAAATGGTGCCAAGAATCTTTTAACAGTGTTATGCATATGATGACACATGTCTCCGTCAATATCTAAAAGATGAGGGACATGTAGCCTTAAAAGGGTCTCAAAACCTGTTTTTTTACCGCGCATGTAATTGGTCGAGTCAGAGAGGTTCGAAATTAAATTATCAGTTGGTATTTCATCATTTAAAAAAAGGCTTTTTATGTAATCAAATAATATTTTTGCATTAATTACTGTAAAAGATTTTGAATGGTAATGCTGTACAACTGATAACATCTGGTTTTCAGAGTAATATGATACCAAGATAGAGAAAACTTTTTCGTGTGCATTGTTTAAACACTCATCAACATTTATTGAAAAGTACGATTTACGTAAATCTTCTTTTATATTGTCAGCAATATGTGCAGCTAAGCCGTGTCGTAGCTTGTAAGATGCTGTACATCCAGCCATACTCAACGAGGTTAAAACTTTATTGTCTTTGGCAAGCACTTGCGATAATCTTATTATTGCAGGTGTGAGACAAAATGGTAGTGAATGTTCAGCAACAAAAGAAAGAACCATCGCTTCAGCATGTGCTATCCGATCTTCTACTCCTACAGATTTTTTTACAGAACTTTCTATTTTACTTGCACATGCTTGCTCATCATGAACATTTAGAGCAGTGCCGTATGGTAAAGTACAAGTACTTACAACTTTGTTTTTTGTAAATATCGACGAGAGAGTAGTGTTGGTTTGTGCAATATTTATTTTTTCTTTGTGCGATTTATTTTTAGAGTGATTTTTTAAGTCTTTTTTACCGCTATTTTTATAGGACAAAAGTACGTTACAAATGCTGCAAAGAACTTTTCCAGGAATATTTATCTTGCGTATATAATCAGACAAGAAAGTTCCATTTTTGTCTTTTTCTTCTAACCAAGACCAGCGAAAAGTATTCTTTATTCCAACTTCCAATTCTTGTAAACTTGTGCATTCACTTCTTTGTAATTCTTTAAAAGTAGCCATTTTGAAAAAAATTTTGATATTTTAAAATAATATGAGTGGTACACAACTGAGTACTACTATTTATAAACAAGTACTATTGACTTTTTTCTAACACTGGAGATGATAATTAAAAGATAAATAGTTAAAATGTTTTTTAAGTGAATTTAAGGACATATGAATGAATGGACGTTTAATGCGTTGTTTAACAGGTACACCGCTGCAGGTAGCAGCTGTGACATTGGGAATACTTTTATTTTATTCTTTTTTAAATGACGACTGTCTGTAATATTCACACTGCGTTTTTTTAAACCTTGGTTGTGAGAGAAAAATCAGTTTTTAATTTCCGTCATATAGGAGAAATATCGATAAATTTAAACCCTTTAAATATTAGTAAAATCTATTTCTAGAGAGTAGTGAAACAATGTATAGTTCGATCTACGAATGAGATATTTGGTATGACCTTCAACTTGTAGAAAATTCTATTAATCTTACAGTTACTGTAATACCGTGGTGTATTATTATGGTCGTTCGGTACAACTTGTTTTCGTAAAGGGTGATTAAATCTTATACAAAAACTTAAACTACTGACTAAGATTAATTATTTTGTTAGTAATAAGTTATTAAATACAAATAAGAGTTATATATTATGATTTTATTCTTTTAAAGTAATCTAAACATATGTACTTTGACTAAACGTCAACTGAATCGAATTGCTTTGAAGTGTTTATTATTAGGTTTTTAAATAAATCGCATTTTGAGGCACGTTTTCTTTTCCATTCAAAAAGCGCTTGTCAAAATTAATTATATTTTCTTTCAATTAAAAAAAAATAACTTTTTTAAATCTTTTAAATTTTGAACCACACGAATAAGCACGTGAATCATTAACAATACCTCACCCTTTGTTTGTCATATGTAAAATAAATTTAAAATTTTTATTTAAACTTTATCTAAACTTTTTTATAGGGTTTTTTAGAGGGATTCTTTTTTTTTTTTTTTTTTAATTTTGAAACGTGTAGATTTTTTTATAAAAGAAGAAGTCGTTATATTGTAAATTAAGTTTAAAACATTTTAAGCACTGAGTGGAAGAATTGATTGTAGAAAATTAACTGATTACAGAAAAACAATTCAATACCTTTTTACTTTTTATTAATTTATTTCCTTTTTTTAAACATATTTATTACTAAAGATTTCTTATTATTTGTATATAAGAAGTCTGGTGTTTTATTATTATTATTTCCTTGCGATTAAAGTATGCTCCGAAAATAGTTAATATAAAATTCATTTATATTTTCCAAAAGTTGGTGGTTAACAGGTAATAAAATGTTTACTGAAAGAAGTTGGCAAGCAAAAGTGTCGGATAAATGTTGTAAAATTACTACAAAGAAAAACCGAAACGCTAAAATAAATAACGCCCATGGGATTTCAGTTATAGTGGCGCCTCTGATCTGTAACAACGCGTTAAACCTTTATCTATTTGTATATCTTTGGAGAATTGAAGCGAAATTTTATTATCCATTATGTATTTAAATGTATAAGTGCATGTCTAAAAAAGTTTACGCATTGTTTAACAGCTTTTAAATATAGTTTTCTACTTTTTCTTTGACTTATTTTTCTTATTATTATTATTATTGTTAAAATTTTATTATTACTATTTTTTTTTTGATGAAAAAATATGTAGCTTTTTATTCATAGATACGGTTAAACTGACGTAATATTAAAGAAATATAAAAAAAATCGAGGAGAGCACGCCCCCCTTGTTAACATCTTCCCTCCTTGTTGTAAATTTCGGATTTTTTCCCGATATTACTATAAAGTTTTCCGGATTTTTTCCGGATATTACAAAAAAGTTTTCCGGATTTTTTCCGGATATTCAAGGAAAAAAAATTTCCGGATTTTTAAAATATGGTCAGGATAATCTATGTATTTCATTACAAATATTTATTTGTTTTTTCTTATAATTTATAAATTAATTGATTATTTTTAAAGTTACTTATACTTAACTATTTTACACTAATCTAGTTCTTTTGTAATAAATACATTAAATAAAATATATTCAAAGGTTATAAAATAAAAGTTCTACACTTTTTTTTTTAGTGGTTTTAGTGTTTGTGGTCTTTATCAAACACATTAGTTTGATAATAGTAAAATATTTTTTTATTATTTACAACAAAATGCGTCCAAAAAAAAGGTATACTAAAACAATATTTTGTGGAGCGTTTAAGAAATATTTAGCTGCTAACTACAAATTACCATCTGGAACAAGCATTCAATGTATGAATGGGTACGTATTTTTTTCTTTTTACACACAACGGTGAAGTTTATAGCAAAACTGTTGCACAGCTTAATGAGTATTTTGACTTACAGTTGATTAGTATCATTTGCCTATCACAAATTAAAAGCATAGTGTATGCAGTCAAAAAATTTTAAAAGGCTAAATGCAAGTTGTGTTGCATTTCGCAATGAGCCTTGTCTTAGATCATTGTCAACAATTACACTTTTAGTGCCACCTACCTCTTGTAATGCTATTTCTAATGTTTCATGTTCTTCAGTTGAGACAGATTCTAGACACATTAGTTATACATCGACAATAAATGAATGTAATGTAAGTGGAAGTGAAAATTTGAGTACAAGGCATACAACAAGACAGAAAATAGAAAAGCCTAGTCCTAAGAAACTAAGTTCTAAAAGATGATGTCACATTATCTTCTCGGTTAGCTAGGTCTACCACAGAAAGTCGTACGAAGATATCTTTGAAAACAATCATAAACTGCATGCGATATAAATTAAAAGTTTTAAGACAGAGTGCTAAAAGAAAAGAACAGATTATAAAAACTTTATGAGCTGAGGTTAGAGACTTAAAAAATAAAATACAAACATTATTACAGTAGATTTTTTCGCAACCTTATTGCTACTAAAAAGGCAATGAAAAATAAAAAGAGAGAAAAGTTTAGAAATGTAACTCTCAGACATAATGCTGCTAATAGGACAAATACAAATGCTATTACTTGCTTAGAAAACAATATGACCCAGATGGAAGACTGCAATATAAATAATACAATTATGTTAGATGATGATAAAACTTATCTATTAAAAATGAGGATGATAATTTACAGCATGATATTGTCCAATGTCCCAACAGGTAACAAGTGGATCATACTGCTTTAGTTTAATCAAATTTTTACTTAAAACCCTTTGACGAATGTTGTTGTTTGATTATCTCAAATATATCAAACACGATGTCAGATAGAATTTCGACTAACCATCTTACAATAAAAAAAATTTGTGATATCTGGACTAAAAATCTTAATGAGTTAAGCTGCCTCTTCTACCAAAAAAATGTCTGATGCCTTGTAACGTGATAACATCTTCAGTTTGGTGCATCTTGTAATATGGTAAAACTATAACATTTGATTTTTTCAAATGTTCATTCATGAATTCATTCGTTTATTCAATACTCATTTTTGATAATACTTTTTTTAATAAATAATACCATTTTTAATAAACTCAAAGAATAACCTATCGTATGGAAGTCTGGAAGGAAATTATAATAACTAATTTCATATGTAAATTAAATAATATTCTCAATTTTAATAATGTATTTATGTTAATTTAGGTTGGAGGTGGAGAGGCGACCTGCTTCCGATTCGATGGGCGCCACCGGTGCACGTTGTAATATAGTTTAATTTAATTTGTATTTTTATACTAGATTTACTTTTTTTTAAATAAATATAAAATTGATATAATAATAATTTTTAATAAAAGGGTGTATAGGGTGTACACCCCCTCCCCAACATATACCTTTTTTTTTAGGTCAGGCCCACCCCTTCTTCTAAAAAAATTTCCATTATTTAAAAAAATACTTTTTCAAAAATAGGGTGTTTCCCCCCCTCCCCCAGCCTCCACCACATACACCCTGAATCGAAGTTTAACTTCTCACATATGGTCTAGAAGGAAATGAAAACAACTACTTGCATATGAAAATCAACAATTTCATAAAAAAATACTCTTTTATAGATGAAATGTTGATATTATAGTAGTAAAGGTGGTGGCTGGATGCCCCCTCTAGCCACCCCTAATACGCCTGGAAGGTGTAGGCCAAGATTAATAGTTAGGTTATTCTAACATCTATCTAATGACATCAAGTTTTAAGTATTTAGACAAGAATTGACCAAGTTATTGCAATTTTAGTTGAAAAAAAAATTATTTTGACCACAGTTTAATCAACAAATCCATATATCCAAAAATCAGTACTAAAAGCGTCATAACTTTTTTTGGAATTGTTTGATTTTGATAATTTTTTCGCTTTTAAAATATTCAATTAAAGATCTTTCTAATGATATATAACAACCTAGAATTTATTCAATTTAAAAATTTCATGTAGCATACCTACTATTTAGTATAACTATTATATATTGTAAAAAGTAAATAGTAAGTATATAGTATAAAATGTGTGTACAGTATAAAATATCTGTTATAAGTATTTTTTATAGTATTTATTATAAACAAATGTATCATTCATTGGAAAATATAAAGCATTTATATATATATATATATATATATATATATATATATATATATATATATATATATATATATATATATATATATATATATATATATATATATATATATATATATATATATATATTTTTTGTGTGTGTATATATATATATATATATATATATATATATATATATATATATATATATATATATATATATATATATATATATATATATATGTATATACATATTGTATATATATATATTTATTTATATATATACCAATATAAAAAAAACTAAGAATGTATTATTACTTATGGTAGATTTTAACAACATTATTTTTCATGTTAAAATGTATAGATGGTACGTAATTATAAACCAAAGCGACAAAAAAATTATAATGCAGAAATTTTTCAGGCTGCTCTGCAAACCATTATAGATGGAGAAACTATATCAACTGCAGCAAAACAATTTAATATTCCACGTACAACGTTGATTGATAAGTTACGGGGAAAACATCAAACACATTCTATAGGTGGTAAAACAATTTTCTTTAAAAATCAAGAAGAAACTCTTGTTCAAAGGCTGCTATATATGGCTGATAGAGGGTTTCCTCTCACAATAATGTGGTTAAGATCTGCTGC